AACATCCATTCCTGATGAAAACTCACAGAAAAATAGGAATAGAAGGGACATATTCCTCAACATAATAAAGGGCATATATGCAAAACCAACAACCAACATTATTCTCAATGGAGAGAGACTGTGAACAGGAATGAGACAAGGATGCCCTCTATCAGCACTTTTATTCAACATTGTATTGGAAGTCCTAGACAGGACAATAAGGCAAGAAGGGGAAGTCAAAGGTATCCAAATTGGTAAGGAAGAAGTCATACTACCCTATATGCAGATGATATGATCCTATACCTAGAAATCCCAACAAACTCAGCAAGAAAACTACTGGAACTTACTGAAAGATTTAGCATCGTGGCAGGATACAAGATCAACATCCAAAAATCAGTTGGATTCCTCGACACCAGCAAAGAGGTCTCTGAAAAGGAAACAAAAAATCAGTACCATTTACAATAGCTAACAAAAAAGTAAGATACTCGGGAATAAATCTCAACAGGAACATAAAAGACCTATAAAAAGAAAACTACAGAACACTACTTTAAGAAACTACGAGAGATCTACATAAATGCAAGAACTTATTTATCATGCTCATGGATAGGAAGATTGAACATTGTGAAAATTTCAGTACTACCCAAATCAATCTGTACATTCAGTGCAGTGCTGATCCAGATTCCGTCAGCATTCCTTAAAGACATGGAAAAAGCAATCGCTAATTTTATATCGAAAGAAAAGAGACCTTGGATAAGCAAAGCACTACTGAAGAACAACAAAGTAGGAGGCCTCACATTCCCAGGTCTCAAAACCTATTGTACATCACAGTTGTGAAAAAACCTGGTATTGGTACAAAAACAGACACATAGAGCAGTGGAACAGAATTGAGAACCCAGAAATAGAGCCACTGCCCTATGGTCAGTGCTATGGTCTTTGACAAAGGGCTGAAATCCATTAAATAGGAGAGAGATAGTCTCTTTCACAAATGGTACTGGGAAAACTGGATATCCATTTTCAGGAAAGTGAAACAAGATTCATACCTCATACCATACACAAAAACTAACTCCAGATGGATCAAAGACTTATAGTTCATCAAAAAAAAAAAAAAAAGCAAAAAAACTTAGGAGCCCTAATTTATGTCATAACTAGACTATCAGGCATAACCCAAGAAGCACAGACAGCAGAAGATAAACTGGATGATTGAGACGTTCTAAAAATTAAATTCTTATGTGCATTAAAAGACTTCACCAAAAGAGTAAAAAGACAGCCTACAGAATGGGAAAAAATATTTGGCAATGACACATCACGAAAAGGACTTACCTCTAAAATTTATAGAAAACTCCAACACCTCAACATCAAAAAGACAAACAGTCCAGTTAAAAAATGGGCAGAAGACTTGGGTTACTCCACCAAAGAAAATATTCAGGTGGCCAACAAACATGAAGAAACATTCCTAATCATTAGCTGTCAGAGAGATGCATCTGAAAACAACAATGAGATACCATCTTACCCTAGCATTAATAGCAAAATTCAACAAGACAGAAAATAACAAATGCTGGAGAGGATATGGAGAGATTGGGACTCTCATGCACTGCTGGTGGAACTGTAAAATGATACAACCTCTGTGGAAATTGGTACGGTGATTTCTTTAAATGTTGGAAATAGAAATACCATTTGAGCCAGCAATCCCATTACTAGGTATATATCCTGAAGAAGTGAGAGGCAGGACACAAACAGATACTTGCACACCCATGTGCATCACAACACTATTCATAATAGCAAAGGGATGGAAACAACCTAAGTGTCCATCAGCTGAGGAATGGATAAACACACTGTGGTACGTAGACACAATGGAATACTGTGCAGCGCTAAAGAATAATGTGGAATCTGAGAAACACCACATAACATGGATGAATCTAGAGGACGCTATGCTGAGTGAAATAAATCAATCACAGAAGGACAAATATTGTATTAGTCCACTATTGTAAAAAGTCAAGGAAAAGTTTATATATGGAATGAAACTGACTTTGTTGGTAACCAGGGATGGGAGTGGAGGGGAAGCTAAATTCGTAGCTAGGTGGAAAGTATATGTGTGTGTGCACATGTGTGTGTCTATATACATACATATATACACACACATATATATATTTAGAAACCAAAATTATTATTGGTTACCAGGGGTAGAGGGGGGAAAGGGGAAGCTTTTGTTTATGGGGCATTCAGTTTATGCTAATTGTGGTAGAATATTTTGGAAAAGGATAGCAATAATGATGGCACAACATGAAAAATGTCATCAATGCCCCTGAGTTATAAATGGGGAAGTTTTTATGTTGGCAAATATCTTGTGTATGCTTTCACCACAATAAAAGTGAAAAAGAAGGGCAAAGAAAACAAAGGCAATACTCAATGAAATGGATGACACAGTAGCCAAAACAGTAGACTCAAAATAGCAACGATCATGAAGATGGCATGGGACTGGGCAACATTTCATTCTGTTATACATAAGGTCACCATAGATCAGAGCCAACTCAATGACCACTAATGAAAAGAACTTTGTATCAAGCGCTGTTGTAAGCACTCTGCCTACATAGATTTTGCCCTTATACCTTGCATTGGGAGCTCTGGTAGCATAGTGGCTAAGGCACTTGACTGCTAACCAGAAGGCTGGCGGTTCAAACCCACCAGCCACTCCTCGGAAGGAAGATGGGACAATCTACTTCCCTAGTGATACTGCCTCGGAAACCCAAGGAGGGGTCACTATGAATCGGGTCCGACTCGATGGCACATAACAACAACAACAACTTTGCATCGAGGTAGTAGAGTGGTATAGTAGTTAGAGTATGGTTTCTGGGTACCACCAGCCAGAGTTTGAATTCCAGCTCTACCACCTACTGGCTGTATACCCTGGGTAGGTTACCTAAGACCTCTGTGCCTAAGTTTTTTATCAATAGAGTGGTATGACAATAGTACTAATCTCATTGAATTGTGAGAATTTGTGAATTAAGATATGCAAAGCATGTAAAGTATTGCATGGTTTTTAGTAATCATTCAATAATTGTTTAGCTGTTACTTTTTATTGTTATTATTATGATTAAATTCTAGAGTAGGAGAGAGGAAATGAACACATACTCTAACATATGTGCTATAAAGTCAAGTAATGATAAGTACTGTGAAGAAAAATATACAAGATTAAAGGGATATAGCATGACAGGAATGGGAGGAGGGTGGCTATTTTAGATAGGGTGGTCAGAGAAAACTGTGCGGCATCAACATTGGAGCATAGATCTAAAGTGAGGGGCTGAACCATGTACATTTCTAGAGGTGGACTGTTGTAGCAGGGAGGACAAAGGCCCTAACCTAGAGTGTGCTTTGTGTTTTTATAGCATGGTGGAAAGCCACAGTGGCTAGAAAGCAGTGAGCCAGGGAGAGAGTGACAGAGGGTAAAGTTAAAGAGGGACTCGGGCCAAATCATGTTGAACCTTGTAGGCCATGATAAGGACTTTGTAATTTATTTTAAGGCAGTTTTGAATAGGGATGTGAGGTGATCTAACTTATATTTTTAAATGATTACTTTGGCTGTTCTTCAGAGAACAGACTGAAGGTAACCCAGCAAGAGATGATAGTGTTGACTGAGATGAGAAGTGGTAGGATTGTGGCTATATTTTGAAATTGATAGGATTTGATATAGGGAGTAAAGGAAAGGGAAGAGTCAAGGATTACTCCAAAATGTTTACCCTGAGAAATTAAGCAAATATTGATGCCGTTTTTAGAGACAGGAAAGAATAGAAGCAGAACTGCCCTGATGGAACCTGCATGGTGTCTTTCGTGTCTTCAGTGAGTGAGTAAATGAGAGGGAGAGCAGTGGAGATGAAGGATGAATGTTTGTATTTGCATAAAACAATCTAGAAGAAAAAATTAATACCTTGGGTGGGGTTGAGTTGAAAAGGGCGCGAGGTGATGGAACATTATATATCGTGATTGTATGTGTTTGTCAAAACTAAGAGAATTGTTTATTTTTAAGATTTAAAAAAAAAAAAAAACCCTTGTCATTGGGTAGGAAAGGCTACGATTGTTTTTATTTTCTTCTTTGCTTGTATTCCCCTCACCTTTTTGAATAATACATCATGAGCATGCTTTTTTTTTTTTTTTTTAAATAACTAAAGAAAACAGACTTTTCCTCTAAAGCCAAATCTGTAAAATTAACTTACATCTAATTATAAGGCTACATTTTCTATAGTAATGTTAAGCAGATTGCTTTTAGTTTTATTCCTTTGTAATAGGTAAGGTTTAGAAAATTTTTTCTTCATTGACATTTGATTGTAGTTTTGAATATGAGTCAAATTTATTGGACACCAATCAGAACAACAGAGCTTTACGTGAATTCTAGACTTAGAAGGAAATGAAAATTTACCTAGTTTCCTAATCTATGCCCATATCAGTGCCTGTCAGCTCTTCACTCTAGAAACTGAAGATATGTAGTGCCATTTTCAGACTGTTATAAAGTGTTCTTTTCTTACATTCTCTGGCTTACATCTCTCCTGAGAATGGGTATGTAAAAAAAGCTTTTTCACATTTCCATTTAGGGATTGAGTTTTGTGTGGGGAAAAAACTAAAATTTCTTTCTCTTCTTCCTTCTCTAACCACTAAAGTTAGAGCACCAGCCTTCTGGTTAGCAGTCAAATGCCTTAGGCACTATGCCACCAGAGCTCATGTAGTGTCTATAGAGGAGTAAATTAAATGGAAATATTAAAAATAAATGCATGTATCAATTTTATAGGACTACTGAGAGAATTGTGAGGCTTGAGAAACACACAGAATGTTAACTTTTGTTATATAAATGTTACTGTGTTTCTCAACCACTTTGAAGACAGTTTAAACCTGAAATCTGGGAAATGAACCAGTAGATAATTAAAGTTGATTAAAAAGGTTTCCCATTACATAGGTTGCCATTACAAGAAAAGTTAAATTGATTGTACATTTAGTGTGGACTTTGAAGAATAATATTATTATGTTTTTTACAGTTCACGTGTTTAAGAAAATTGACATTCCATCAGTTTTTGTTGGAGAATCATCAGCTAATTCCCTGAAAGATGAATTCACATATGAAAAAGGGTAAGTAATGAATATAAAAAATAATCAGCTTAAAATCCTTCTTTATATCGATGTAGAATTATAATATTAGTTGTAAACAGGGTTATGTTTTAGAATGTACTCTTTTTATGACACTGAATTATCTTTTTTATTTTTTAGTGGCTATGCCTTTAAAAGTTACTACATTATACAATTTCTTCTTTGATTATAAATTAAAAATGTCATGTTGATAAGGAAGATACTACAATTTTCAATTTTACAATTTAATCAAACCATTAGTATTTAAAAGAAATACAGTTTACACTTGTATGACATTTTCTGTTAAGGAATGTCTGTGTTTTATTAAAATCAATTTATTTTATAGACACAGAATCCAAAACACAAATGTGTTTAAGTGACTGACTTTTACAAAGACAAAAAGTTTTTAGATTGAATACATTTGATTTGGAATAAAAACTTCTATATGGAAACCTCCCTAGAATAAACCCACTGTCATTAAGTCAATTCCAATTCATAGCAACCCCCATTGGGTTTCTGAGGCAGTAAATCTTTATGGAAGTAGATTGCCCAGTCTTGCTTCCACTGAGTGGCTGGTGGGTTTGAACCACCAACCTTCTGGTTAGCAGTCAAATGCCTTAGGCACTGTGCTACCAGAGCTCCTTTCCCCAAAATACTCATTGTAAATAACATGGCTATGATTAAAGTCAAATCAGAAAACAACATGAATTAGCAAGAATGTGGAGAAACTAAGACCTCATCCATTGTTGATTGGACGGTAAAATGTTGTAATCACTGTGGAAAACAGTTGGGAGGTTCCTCAAAAAGTTAAACATAGAAGTACCATATGATTCAGCAATTACTCTCCTAGAGTTTCATTTGCACACAGTTGAAAACAGGAACACAAAGCAGTACATGTACACCAGTGTTCATTGCAGCACTGTTCACAGTAGCCAAAAGATGGAAACAACCTAAATGTCCATATACATATGAATGGATAAAGAAGATATAGTACATGTGTACAATAGAATATTACTCTGCTATGGAGTTAGACTGCTAACCAGAAGTCTGGCAGTTCAAACCCACCAGCCACTCCATGGAAGGAAGATTAGGCAATGTACTTCTATAGAGAAACCACCTCAGAAACCCAAGGAGGGATTGCTATGAGTTGGATCTGACTCGACGGCAATGAGTTTGGTTTTTCGTTGATAAAGAAAAATGAAATCTTGATACATGCTACAACATGGATGAACTTTGAAAGCATTATGCTCAATAAAATAAGTCAGACACAAGAGGACAAATATTGTATGATCTCACTTATATGAAATATCAAGAATAGATGAATATATAGAAACCAGAGTTTATTTGTAGTTACCAAGGACGAGTGAGAGGAAGAGAAAGAAGGTACTGTTTAAGGAAAGCTGAACTTGTTAAGGGGTGATGGAAAAATTTGGAAACAGATAGTGGTGATGGTTGTATAACATGATGAAAATGTCACTGAGTTATACATGTGAAAAATGCTGAAATGGTGAATGTTACATAACGTTTATATTTGATACCTAGTATAGAAAATAGGAGCTCTGGTAGTTTAGTGCCTAAGGCACTTTGACTGCTACCCAGAAGGCTGGCGGTTGAAACCAGCCACTTCTCGGAAGGAAGATGGGGCAATCTACTTACGTAGTGAAACTGCCTCGGAAACCCAAGGAGGGGTTGCTATGAGTCGGATCCGACTCGACGGCACATAACAACAACAAGTATAGAAAATAGTGTGACTAATACTTCAGAGCTTCTTCCATGAAACTTCTCTCTAAAATGTAGTGAGCAGGAACAGACTTTTGACCAAGAGAAGCAATAACAACATTAATAAAATAGCAGCTAATGTTTATTGTGCATTTAATAAGTTCAGGCTTTGATGAGGCAAGGAGTTCTATATTTGTTATCCACTTAATTCTCCCAAAAACTTATATCTCTTATTATCCACATTTGTTAAAAGAAGAAACTGGCACAGTGAAATCCAATTCTAATTATTTTGAAGAAAGCATACATGAATATTTGAGTTTGAAAATGTATTAAAATAAGAAGGCAAAGTTTTCTGTTGACTGGTTTTATCTTTCTTTCCCCATAAAGTTTTTATTTTTAAAATAGTTCCACATAAAATGTGCTCAGAAAATATTTGCTGAAATAGGGAATGTGATTTTGGATGTTGAGGTTAAAAAGTAGTTATGCAAGGTGATATTTTGTCAGCCATGTTTGTGTAACTAATAGAGAGGGAGAGCTATTTAATATTTGATTTACCTCAGTATTGTTTCTTCACTTAGAAAAAAATCTGTATATTTTAATATGTGTTTTAAATAATTTTTCTTGTTTTAATTATAAAATTATACTCTTTTAAATTGGAAAATAATACATGGTAAAATATGCAAAAATTCAGAAATAAAGCATTTACAGTGAATATCACTGTCACAATAATGCTACTCTCCAACAATGACTGTTAAAAAAAAGCCTTTCAGAATTCAGGTAAGATGGTGGAATAGCAGAAAGACTGCACAGACCCTCTTCAACAAAGAAAAGGGGAACCAATTAACACAGATACAGAAGATAATCCTGGACCCATGAACTGTGAAGGGAAGGATATAGAAGTGGATTAAACTCCAACTAGCAAAAGAATTTGCATGAAAATACCAAAAAAGGAGACATACAGAGCTATGGCCTGGCAGCGATCCTGATGGAACAGACAGCTTGGATATTGCCGAGTGGTGGTAGGACCTAAGAATTA